CATAGTCAAAGCTATGGTTTTTCCAATAGCCATGTATGGAAGTGAGAGCTGGACCATAAAGAAGGCTGACTGCCAAAGAATTGATGCTTTTGAATTGTGGTGCTGAAGGGAGACTCTTGAGAGTCCCCTGGACTACAGAGAGAACAAACCTATCCATTCTGATAGGAGGGGAGAAGACTCCTTGGAAAAGACCCTTATGTTGGGAAAGTGTGAAGGCAAGAGGGGAAGGGGACGTCAGAGGACCAGATGGTTGGATGGTGTCATCGAAGTTACCAACATGAATTTGACCCTACTCTGGGAGACAATGGAAGACAGGAGGGCCTGGCATGCTCTGGTCCATGGGGTCATGAAGAATCGGACATTACTTAACGACTAAACAACAAACAACAACAGACAGAACTACAGTGGGGTCTCTACTTAAGAACTTAATCCGTATTGGAAGGTGGTTCTCAAGTTGAAAAGTTCTTATGTTGAATCTGCATTTCCCATAGGAATGCATTGAAAACCATTTAATCCGTATCTGCTCTTTTCCGTCCATAGAAACAGAACTATTCATTCCTTTTTCACAGTTGGGAAGAATTTTGTTTTAACTTTTAAGTAGTGATGGACGGCATCATTTATAATACCTTTTTGCTGGAGCAGCTAATGGCGTTTTGAAAGTGGCTTTCAGTATGGTACTCTAGCACACTGGTTCTTAACCTTGGGTTACTCAGGAGTTTTGGACTGCAACTCCCAGAATGGCATCATTTATAATACTGTACCTTTTTGCTGGAGCAGCTAATGGCGTTTTGAAAGTGGCTTTCAGTATGGTACTCTAGCAGATTTCTATTAAGATTGGACAATGGAGATCGTTTTTGTCATAAGCTTTGTTTGTGGGGAATTCTTCCGAAATACAAGGCAATCTGATATTTTATTTTGCCTTCTTTATTAAAAAAAGAGGGGTATAGAGTGATGGCTGAGGATTTAGATTACTAAAAGTATTCCTGATAGGTCTGTGAATCTGAAATTGGGTTTCTTGTTTGTTCGTACTTAAACTTCATACCAGTGGAAGACAGGAGGGCCTGGTGTGCACTGGTCTATGGAGTCATGAAGAGTCAGACATGACTAAATGACTAAACAACAACAAACTTCATACTTACCATGACTTTGCTATGCTCAGAGGTTTCTTTTAATAATCACATAGGGCTCTACTGGCATATCTGTGAAATGAAACTCAGTGGGTTCCACTTCAAACAAAGTATAATTTGTCGCACACCAAGATATTTCATATCCACTGCCTCTCTTTAGTAAGAGTGATGATGGAGCAGAACAAATGAGAAGGCCTGGTTCTTGACAGATAGGCAAGAAAAGAAACATGGGAATGGTGAGACTGTAGCTCTAGCCGCTGAGTTAATTCAGAATCCCTGGGAATCAACCTACCAGTTCTCCCACCTGCCCCTCTGAATTAAAATTGGAGGGAGACATGATTTCTTTGTTTATTGCCAGAGACCTCCCAGAATGATGAGGAAATATATTTCTGGTGTCTTGCAGCTTTAATGACATACTGGGGACACTATGTACTCCAGATGTTTTGGCTTACAACCTGGATTTGTCCCTCTCAAGTATGGCCAATGGACCAAGTTGGATTTTTTGGGCCTAGGATCTCCCTGCCAGTGTGGTGTGCTTCAGCTTGTCCGGAGGCACATAACTTACTGGCCTGCACACAGTTTGGGAATCAGGAGACTAGACTGAAGAGTGGTCTGGTTTGATATAACATGACTTTATATATCCTTTGCATTTATTAGTACAAATGCCACCACTTTGCATTTTGGGTTGCCTTCATATTGTTAAAAGGTTTTGTGAGTTATCCTTTTTGTCAGTATGTCTAGTTGTGTAGATTAAACATGGAAGAGTTCTGCCAGATCAAACCGAAAGACCATTAAGTCCAGCATTCTGTTTCCCACAGTGGTTGGCCATTTGCCTCTGGGAAATCCAGAAGCAGGTTTGAAGGCAAGAGCGCTTTCCCCTCTATTCGCTCTCAGGAACTTGTATTCAGTGGCATATAACCTTTGAACCAGATGGATCCAAATAGCCATTATAACTAATAGGTCTATCAATGGCTATCTGCCATGAATTTGTCTAATCCCTTTTGAAAGCTGTCTAAGCTGGTGGTTGTCCCACAGCGAATTCCATAAATTAATGATGTGTTGTGTGAAAAACTACTTTCTTTTGTCTGTCCTGAGTCTACTGCTAATCAGTTTCATTGGATGACCCCAGACGCCAGGATTATGAAAGGGAGAGAAAAACGTCCGCCTTACTTTCTCATCACTATGAATAATTCTGTAACCCCCTTTCTTATCCCGTTGTCACTTTTCCTCCCTAGCAACCTCAAAGGCTCCAGTGTTTCTTTGTCG